GGGGCGGGGCGGTGGCCGGCCCACGGGTGCTTCCCCCGGCCCGCCGGGAAGGAGATCCCGCCCCACACACGGTCTCTCTTCCCCAGCGGGAAGCGGCTCCACCCCAGGCAGGCATGGCCGTAAGCCTCTTCTCCTTCAGCAAAACCACCTTTCCCTCCCCATCCCGGCATGGCGGAAAGCCTTCTCCCCCGAGAGGGGTGCCGGGGATCCCGCCTTGGAGCAGGAGGCCTTGCCCCGGCCCTCAGGAGCTCCCACCATTTTCCTTAACTAGCGGTATCAACTACCTCCCGTCAGTCCCTCCAAGGTGGCTGTCAGGATGTTATTTTCCATTTTCTTCTTGCAACAGTAAAACACCTATTTAAAAGTTAAAAAGCCCAAAGGAGCCTGGTAAGGGTAAAGCAAAAGAAGTGGTGCTGGTGTTGAGGAGCATGTTTATGTACAGTTTTGCCCTCCATACCATCCCCATTAAAAATGCAAATAGCCAGGCCGCATCTGGAATATTGTGTCCAGTTCTGGGCCCCACAGTTCAGGAAGGACAGGGAACTGCTGGAGAGAGTCCAGCACAGAGCCACCAAGATGATGAAGGGAGTGGAGCATCTCCCTGATGAGGAAAGGCTGAGGGAGCTGGGGCTCTTTAGCTTGGAGAAGAGGAGACTGAGGGGAGACCTAATTAATGTTTATAAATATGTAAAGGGCGAATGTCAGGAGGATGGAGCCAGGCTCTTCTCAGTGATGCCCAATGGTAGGACAAGGGGCAATGGGTGTAGCTGGAACACAGGAGGTTCCGCTTAAACTTGAGAAAAAACTTCTTTACAGTGAGGGTGACAGAGCCCTGGGACAGGCTGCCCAGGGAGGGTGTGGAGTCTCCTTCTCTGGAGACATTCAAGACCCGCCTGGACGCCTTCCTGTGTAATTTCGTTTAGGTTCCTGCTCTGGCAGGGGATTGGACTAGATGATCTTTTGAGGTCCCTTCCAATCCCCAACATTCTGTGATTCTGCGATTCTGTGATTTGCACATTGCCAGCTTTCAGTTACATAAGCGACACTGACGTTCTTGACTCATGCATTGAACAGACACGGGAGCGGCTTGATAATCACAATTTTATTTACTCAGTTTCACACTAGACAGTGCTCAAGAAAGTACCATGTTTTACTACAGTCACAGTATCCAACTCTGGAAATGGGCATATGACATCAGGACAGTGCCTATACATCCCTGGCAGAAGTTTATAGAAAAATTTTATGCAGATAAGACACGGTAAGTCTGTTACTTTGTCATTTGTCCATTTAGGCATTTACACAGTGACACTGATTATATCTTATACCCCTCTGTACATCAAAGAAGGGAAAAAAAATACACCATGCTAAAAATAAGCCAGTTTTGTTTGACATCTTCCATGTCATCAAATTTTCCCTGTGCCCCACAGATGACCTACAGGGGTTGCCAAGTATGAGAAAGATAAGTTAAGTACTCGAAGCTTCCAGTTTTGCAGGAGATTGACAAAGCTGCGGGAGGGAGGAGGAGGGGAAAAAGTGGCCAGGTCTGTTCATCTGGGATTTAACAGACAAACAAAACCATGAAACAAGTCTGCTAGAACTCACAGGAGACTTCCTGATCTCACTGGACATGAGACCAAGGCCTAGATAAGCAACAAGCCAGTGAAAAAGGTAATTTAAAAAAAACCCTTGGAATTATCCAACTAAAATGAATTCTTTAAAATCTGTTGGTTATACCCAACCAGTTCACCTATGATGATTATTAGATATAGAAAGGAGGAGGCCATTATCCTTTGAATTAAATCCTTTCCTGAATGTTGTCTTCAGGTCTCAGTTGCCTTTTGGACTAACACTTAAAAACACAGAGATAGTTAAAAAAAATTACTCTGCTTTCTTTATTAACTATATAAAAAGAAACAGGAGCACCATAGCTTCAGATAGTTTGGGCTTTAAACCATCAAGAGAAGCAGCAGAGAAAAATTTTAGTCTTGGTTGAGAGTTTTGAGTCTATGTTGCACTCTAACAGATCTTCAAAATTCTTGATAATTGTGTATAGGGCATTTAAAAATGAAGGGCCTGATCCTGCAGTCCTTATTCCTCAGAAGGCAACAAATGCCAAAACACAGCAAGGTAGCCTTTGTCTTTTAAGAAGGTCTATAAACAGGACATGAAGCACAAATTTGCATGCAGCACTGCATGACAATTACAAGAAGATAATTTCCAAATCTGCAAAAACTTCAAGCTATACATACAAAGTGAAGAAGTTAACAATGTCAGTGTGTCTTCAGACTGCAAATTATGTCTAATGGCTTACTGTAGATGCACAGCAACCTCATCTTTTCTCTATAAAGAAACTGCTGATCAGCATGGTGAGGAGAGGTATCTAAATCAAGGTGAATGGCCAAGCAAGTGCAGAGCTATTCTATGCAGAATTTATTTTCTTTGTATTAATAGCAGCCTCAATCTCTTCCATGATTGGCACCGGCCCTGCATAGTTATTCGTTTCAATAGCTTCTAATTTATTTCGGTAGTTAGTTGGCAAGCCATTCTGTTTTGCACCCATGCAGATAACCTATAATCAAAAGGGGGAAAAAAAAAACATGCCTTAATGAATAGTGTTAGGAAGGACAGACCCCTCCAAACATTTACTCATACAGGAAGAACCACTTAAGGTAACAAGAGAATTAATCCCAAATAATGCTATTTGTACCTAAAGGTAGCCAGAGGCTTCTGGAAGACCACTAAAGACCTTAATAGCTTAACAAAATTACTGTGAAAAGGCTTGTAACTACCTCGGCCTACCTCCAAGATTCTGAAACGCTACTAACGTGCACAAGACTGCACAATTAAGCTGTTACTCATTTATTCCATTCTTTCTTCGGGGAGGATGAGAACTACTTTTTATGCCTTTAGCCAGCCTCAGTATCACATCTGAGTGAGAAGCATGTATGACTGAAGATACTTGTAAAACCAAGCTGTTCAAATTCAAAACACAACAGTGAGTACCCACACAAGTTATAGGAGTAACAAAACCAGATACTCAGTGAAAAAGCACAGTTTTCTTATTGTGTGCTACTGCAGCTTTCAGTCTACATACAAAATAAGTATTGGTGCAAGAGAAAATAAGTGACAGTGAGAGTAAAAGAGGAGGCTGTAGGAGCCAAGGCTTGAAAGAGATACCAGCAAGTTCCCATACAGAAATAGATAAATATGCAGATTTTAAAAGCTGACAATATTGTAAATACTATTTCATACAATCAACAGCCAGGAAATTCAAGGACAAGGTCTATAGAAAGGATGAACTTTGCCACAAGAAGTACACAACTGCAGATGGATGTAGATCACTGTATGCTGATGCAGTCACCTGTACTAAATTTTTATCCCTCCTGCCTGGTTAACTTAAATAAATGAAAAGCTGAGGGTGGGGATGGAGAAGAGAACTAACAATTGACCCTGACAACAGCAGGAGGGAATGTTTAACAGAGCAAGTTGCTAATATTGGAAATCTGTTCTTGCAGCACTCTAGTGAGAGCTGACACGCAGCAGACGACTACGTATTAACTCCCTGAAAAGCTGTAAAGATCTGTCTTGACAGGAAGCAGGTTGGCAGGGAGGAGGTTTGTGAACTAGCAGAGCCTGCTTTCTAAGCAAGCTTTATCTTCAGAAGTCCTGCAGCAGCTGGCCTTAGCTATGCTCCTGGAAGCTGATTCATAGGAGTGAGTTTTGCAGTTAAGATAAAGCAGCACGCTTGGGATTTAAGAAGCTTAAGTCCTGTTTCTTTGCTTTCTGTAGAAAAAGTTAACATGTTACAGTGATGTCTATCTGCAATTGCTAACAACTGCTCTGTTCCAGACATGGAATCATGCCACCAGAGGCTAGGCCTGCATCAGATCTCTCAAAGCTAAGCAGGTCAGGCCTGCTGCGTGACTGGATCATGTGTCTCTTATAGAGTCAGAGTGTTGCAGAACAGTGTTGGAACACTTCTGCTTCACCAGCCATCAAGTGAGAACCCTGCAGTGCTCTGCAATGTTGCTGGAAGTCCTGTGATATACTGATGATGCATCTGGTAGAAGGAAGCAGGTGGATTCCTGTATTAAATCATAGTAAGATACTTCATAAGACAATAGGGATAATCTGTGTCCTTGAGACTACAAACCTGTCCTGGTTTTTGCTAGGATAGGGTGAATTTTCTTCTTAGTAGCTAGAAAGCACTGTGTTTTGGTTTCAGTGGGGACTGTTATGAGAACAATGTTGATAAGTACAAGGACACTGTGCTTGGGCAGTTTCCAAGAAAAGAGGACTGGAAGGGGGGAGTGGAGAAGAAAAGTGTCAGTAAAACCCAGAATTGACAGTTGGATATGCCAGTATTCCATATCATATTACATCATGTTTAGTATATTAACCAGGGCTGACCGGAAAGGAGGGGGGGGATTCTCTCGGGAATCGCTCAGGCTCGCTTTTCTGGGATTGGGATTTTGGTTTCGGGGTTCCTTTTCGCTCCTCCGGGATCATTATCAGCAGGTGGTGATCAACTGTACTGTGCATCACTCATTACATAGTTGTTATCATTATTACTCTTATTACTATTTTTATTTTATTTTTACTCTAATTATTAAATTGTTCTTATCCCAACCTACAAGTCTCCTCACCTTTACCCCTCAGGTTCTCTCCCTGTTTCCCCAGGGGGGTGGGGGGGAAGGGGCGGGGCTGCAAGTGGCTGTGTCTTGTTTGGCTGCCAGCTAAGTTAAACTATCACAAAGCCAAGAGCTGTATTCTCCCCGCAGAAGCTTCCCTCTGTCCTTTTAGTGGAGTACATTAATTTTTCAAAGCAGAGAATTGCTGCATATATGTAAACAACATCCTTCAGAAATCCTTGTGTCAGTCATAACTAATTCATGAGTTACACAGAGGCTTCATGTAAGTCATAACTAAGCCAAACGATAAAACTGATTTAGCAGGCCTTGCCTTTAAGAGCTAGCAATCTTCTGTGAGCATCATTACACTATTACATCACACAAGAATTAAGTTATACCTTCACCTTAGAGCCTTACACCCACTGTAAATAAAATACTTATTAAATAGGACAGAAGTACTGCATTATATATTTCTGATCATTCTCTCCAAAATTACAGTGATGCAACATGTACCTTTTTATACTGAGGAGAAGGGGGACCACAGACATAATCCTTCATCTGGTAGCTTCGACAGGTCAGTACTTTTCCTGCTTGAGTGTGGACATTAACTTCTATTGGGACATAAATGCCATCTTCAACTCCCTCTTGCCTGTAAAGGACATATATTCCTTTTATGCCAAATAGCTGATGCATCTTTCAAACAAACTGTGCAATTAAACATACACATTTCTTATAACAGAATTCAATGCAGGTCTCATCTACGCTGTTAACAGACTTAAAAAAAAAACAAACAAACAAATAAAGCAAAACATATTCTACTACATTTTGTGCAAACTTGTTTCATATCCAAAAATAAGTTTCTAAAGAAGTGGCAGCATTCACTTTTATCGTTCCAGCTCTAAGAAAGATGAACAGTGGTTGACTTGCAAAGTTAGAGAGAGAATATGTGAATTAATTACTGTGCAGGTCTGGTAATCTACAAGGGAAACACAACCAAGATTATCAGAATTAATGAGGCAGGCACATATCATTCATTACCTTCTGCTCAGATAATGAAACAATTGCAAAGTTTTGTCTTGCCCATTGTGTTACATTTGAATAAGGGGAAACTTGCACAACTTTTGCAATGCACATTCCAATGAGTAATCCAAGACACCCTTTAATTTGCGCAAGACGTACAGCAACAAGGAGCTAGATCAGGGCAAAACCAATTTTGTTATTTTTTTATTAGCAAAATCATGCTGTCTTAAGAAAATAAGGCTACTTGTTGTCTTTAACCATTAGCATTTAGCCACCAACAAAAGTCTGAGGAAACAGTAAGGAGCAGACAAGAAGCTTAATCAATACAAGACATACTTTATAGCACCATTAATTTTAGATGTGCTTTAGATATGAGTGGTAATATGGGTCTTAATGCTGCTTGTCAAACTATCATTTTCATAACTTATGCCTCTTTCCAAGACTTACTACCATTTCAAGTATTTAAAGTACATAACACAGGCCATATTATGTGAGTAACTAGGTTAAGTGCAAGTAAAGACTGGAAGCTAACTGCAGATTCAAGGCCAACAGACTGCAAAATAAGTCACATGGGTGTGTGAGAGCAAGAAAAATGTTATAGTTAAGTAATGTCCATTGCTAGGATACATAAAGTTGTAATTTAGTCTGCAATTTACAGATTTGTGAAGTACAGAGGACAAAAATCTGGCCATGAGACTGCACCAAAATGCATTTGAAACAAAGAAGTTCAACCATCTAAGCAAAAGATTCCCTTCCCATATTTATTTTCTATATATTACAATGTTTTACTAGTATTTCAACTAGTAAGGTGCAGCATCAATTACATATTCCCTCCTGTGCTTCTGGATAACAAAGCACAGAATTCTTTATCCAGATTAGGGAAAAAAATGGGGGAGGGAGGGGCAAACAGTGAAAAATTTTCTTTCTTGATACATGGAATTTCCAGGAAATAACTTAGTTGAGAACTTACAAATATATCTGCTTGCACACAGCCAAAGAATCCCAAGATCTTCATCAGGAACACATGCAAGCTCTTTCGAGTTGGCTAGGAGCAATCCTGAGAAGAACACTATTGACTATCGCTATAAAAGCCAAGAACACACCCTGTTTCCTTCCATTTGCAGTCCACCTTCACAGCATCAGTGAGGCAGCTGGGAGAAAGCAATCTTTAATGCTAGTGTCTGTCCTGCAGTTTTTGTTGATGGTATAGCAGTAAAGCCTCTATCATCTTAGCCAGCATTAAAGTTTATCCCCTGTCAAACAAATGCCAGGGATCTTCAATTCAATTTACATACTATAGTATGTAAACAGCACTTCCAGAAGTTAAATACAAAAATGCTGTCCCCATCGGGAGAACACCGTGTTACTATCAAAGCAGATGCTGCCAGACAGCATCTTTATACTTCTGAAGTTTATGCTTTTGGAAAGCATGGTAAATCAGGTAGATTTAAAAGGTCAGCAGAAATGAGACCAGGAGGTAAATGCTAGTGTAAGCAACAGAGAGGGAACTGAGGAGACAAAAAAGCAGGGACACGTGAAGCTCTCCCCAACCAGATGTATAGCAGCTATATGCCCTCGTGCTTGGGAGTAACACTCCCAACCAGGACTTGGGAGTGCCCATTCTCACGATGTGCTAATGTAACTTGGGCAACAGTTTCTGTTGTATTTCAGGTTCACTGTAGTCAATGAAAAGCAAGTTGGAACTTTCAAGTTTCATGGCCAAGGTTATGAGGATGTGTCTACAAAGCACAGTGCAGCCACAACCAAAATTGCAGTAGTACCAGAGGCAGGAGAACCGCATTCATGTAATGCTTTCAATGGGTTTAACATGTCCTGCTTCCTTAGCCTCACTAGCCAAGATTTCTACCAGAATTAATTGACAGTGATAAACTGCTCTGAACAAACAATCCTTGTGTACCAGAAGCACCGTGCTGTGGAGGCACAACCCGAATGCTGCAATAAGCACATGACACCAGCCAAAGTTTTGGATATTAAGTTCTAAGTCTGGCCTTGGACCTTGCAGGAAGTTATGCCACTGCTTGATTTGTTTACCCAGGTGGTCCTCCAGACTTTAGCCTAGGTACGGGTTGGGAATGACTTGCTCAGATTGCCTTAAACTTGTCTTAATTATCAGGCACAGGCAGAACATTCTCCACAACGCTCTGTAATGGTGCGGGCAGCCTCTCCCATTCAAAGGGAGAAACAAAACCGCCCCAGATCCCTGCCTGGATCTACCTCAAGTTCACAAAAGTTTGAATCCTCAGAAGAGAAGACAGGCAAAATAACCTCAAAAGGTTCCTTTGCCTGTATTAAAGATTTCCTTCTCTTCTGCAAAGTCTTGTACTCCTTTCCTTTTCCACTACAACCAGAGACTACAGATGTATAGAGACAGATATTGATGTCAGTCTCAAAGGAAACTCTCCCTAAAGCAATGGGAAAAGTGTCATGGGACAAATAGAGAGTTTAGAGTAATTTTAGATATGAGTGGTAATATGGGTCTTAATGCTGCTAAATAACATTGTGAGGACAGGGGTTAAAAAAAAAAGAAGCCTGACCAATATATCAGCTCCAAATCAAGGTCCACACCTTATTAAAATACCCCTAAGTAGCTGTAGCTTGAAAACAAAGCTATTTTAATCACAAATGTGTTAGAAGTCAATATATGGACTGTGAAGTGAAATTCACATAATGAAGTTCAAAGCATCTTCTTGATTCAAACACCAAAGCTTCCACACAGCTCTTTACCAAAAATTAACTACTCCTTTTCAATTGCTCTCTAAAATAGTTGAAGACAGTAAAAGTTAAGTCACCTACTTATCCAGTGATCTTAAATTGCTAGCATTCATTTTCCACACTATTCCCCATACTTCGTCTCCAGGGCTCTGAACAATGGTCGCTGTACCTCCATGCCAGACAGAACTCGTCCTGCCTTGATGATGGCCGAACTCGAGCTTAAAATTCTGCAAATGAAACCAAAGCAGAGAATCAATTTCCACTTAAGATAAGACCTGTTGGCTGTTCTTAACATGAAACGGGCAGCTAAAGCAGAGTCTATAAGTAGTCAGTGGAGTCACAGAAGGAATAACAGACAGGCAGGATCTTCCCACCTCTCCATGAGAAACACCAGCCTTGGGACAAAGGGAAGAGAGGTCTGCCAGAGAGCACTATTGGTAAAAGTCTTGCTCTGCAGAGACCTAGATCAACATCCAAACCTCTTAACAGGCTGGCCTAAACATTGGCTAACAATTTCTAGCAGTGAGAAGCAGAGGTAGCCCTTTTTCAAGAGTAGCATGCATACCTACTTCTGCAGTACACACAGAAACGTCAGCTTGACTTCTGTCCAAGCAGGCAAGTGACACGACTGCTGATGTGCTTCCCCTTGGACAACCTGAAGGGCCTTTGGTTGAGGTGCACTATGAAGGAGGGAACTGACTACTGCCACCTCCTACTTCCTTAAAAGACATGCCTACCTGGTGCCCATTCCTTTGCTGCTTTTGGTGCTAATACAAAACTCAAATGCTACCATGCAGGGTCCAGAAAAATAGTAAGGGTTAAAAAAGCCTGCAAGATAGTGAGTTCTGGGTCTTGTCCTCGTGCACTAATAGAAGTGCCCCATTATAAAATACCATCCTGTGTATTTTCCAGTGTTCTATGCCATTGCATCACTCAACTGGAACATTCTTGAGTATTTTTAAGACAAGCTGCATTCCTCCTTGACTGAGCTTATTCAGGTTTTTGCAAGTTGAAACATTCTTTTAAAAGTCAAACTGATCTTTTTCTTATAAATAATATCAAATGTGTTCTTGCATTTTCCTGGGGTAATTTTCCATCTAATGCCATACACTCAGTTTCCTCTCCTACTTGTTAGCCAGTTTGTGGATCCTTCCCTATTAGTAGAGAAGGGAAAGACTACCTGCTACCCAAACCTACAGAACCCCACGGCTTTGCATATTTCTCATGATCACCCTCTTTAAGCTATGATTTTGATTTGAAAAAATATGTGTGTACATATTAATATTCACTTTCTGAGATATATTACCTTCTTGTAATATGTCCTAACAGGTATGGGGAAAAGGTTGCAAAAGCTGAAGGCTTACATACAGAACAGCACTAGTCAGAACACTATTCTGATTTTTTTGTGTGTGTGTCTGTGTGATAATCAGCAGCCTGGCAAAGCCATACTGTTTACTCCATCAATAGAGTCATCTTCCTTCCCCATAAAGTATCCCACATTAAACTGATTTCACTAGAAAAAAGTTTACTTAGACACACCAGTCATCAGCCATTTGACAAGCTGCTGCAAAATGGCTTTGCAGCGTTCAGGTCACTGGATTACTGTGGGAGAAGGACTCTGGACTAGACCTGCACACAGTCAAGCCCAAGTAATTTGCACACAAGTCCAGTCAAGTCGCAGACTGAAGTTGGAGATGTGGACAAGTGCTTGTAGGGCAGCCCCAAGGAAATACTCCCTTAGAGCCAAGAACATGCACAGTAGTGTAGTAAAAAAAAAAAAAAAGTGCTGATTTTTATTTTATTCCTCCAATTATATTTTCTTAGACCTGACCTGCACTGGGTACCTGCAAGGAGGTGCAAACAACTGTTAGGTCCCACCCAAGAAGCACAACAGAGACCATACAGAAACAGCACAGTTAGGTCCAGTTCTGGAAGCAGGAACCCCTGTTACACCATGCAGGCTACTGCTGCAGGCACTGTAGGGAACAGGGAACAAACATACAAGATACTTTCCTGGGTCAAGAGCTTGGTCTTCAGCCCTTCTTCTAAGTACCACTGTAATACCTTTTCTGTGCTTGTTACACTCCATTTCTTACAGCTTTTGATTGAAGATTACCAAAGTTTTAAAAATTAAGAACAGGGAAGCCAATTTAATATTCTAGTTCCGTATCCAAAGTACTCTGTTTACAGGCTATTTTTTCAGGTTTTTTTAAGCCAAGGTGGTACTACCATGGAGCAATTAACAGAAATCAGCTCCAACCTTTGTGCACTTCCTCGCTCTCAAGCATCAGTGATTTTCCAGTTTGAAGCAAGGGAAGGAAGGCACCCGCTGTCAGCAGGGAGCACAGCAATGGGTCAGAGGCCACACAGAAAAGCGGCTGCCTGCCTGCCAGCTCTTGAACAGCTAACCTGCAGCATGGCAACAGGTGCTTACTTTGTAACCTGGAAGTCTACCTGGAACCCAGAAGGAAAGCTGACACATAGGGCTTTCTTTTAGTCAAAGATAAACACACAACACCACTGCTTTCCTCCTCACCTCTAAGGTCTGGTCCTGCAAGCTGCTGGCATCTTGGCACATTCAGCTCCTCCGTGGTAACTATACATGCCTCAGACTTTACAGGAGCAGGATTTAGTTTCCAGGTTGATGCTCCCAGGAGACACTAAGTATCCGACTATAGGGAGCTTATTAATTACAAGTTTTTGAAATGCCTTCACTCTAACATTGATCATTTCCTGCCAGTTACCCCAAGAGAACCTTCAAGTCATCCTTAAGTGCTATTATCAATCAATGCTCTACTCCTCCAACGATCCTTCCAGCTGTACAGCTCAATGACCATGAGCTCGTACTTCCAAGTTTACGTTAAAGCCAAGCTGACATACTGACATTTAATATCCCCAGGCGGGGGGAGAACGGCCAGGACCTAGGAAGGCATCAACTGCAGCCGTGCAGGACTGGTTGAAAGCTTCCATCCCACCTGATGCACAGCATGGAAGAGGGCTCCTCACTTGTCACCTACGTGGACGCAGGGAAGGAGGAATTTTGGTTCTTTAACGAAGCATCAGCCTTTTAAAACTGCCAGACACGTGTGTCATAAACCCAGCGGAGCGCCAGCTACTTACATTTTCAGGGTCTTAACTCTTTGCCCCAGCGTGGGATCTCGGCTGGCAGCCTTACAGGCGTGGCCAAACCCAGTGCGGTGAAACCCCCCGAGGCGGGGCTGACACAGGACAGCACCCCCGAGGGCC